ACATAGATGGTTGGTCTCTCTTTCCCCCTTACACACTTACACACACACACACACACACACACACACCTTTCACAGGAGACGCTCTGTAGAATTCTCCACATATGGCAAACATATTTTAGGGGAAGCACCATGACTAGAGGCCAGTGGGAGAGAAAGAAAAAGAAAATAATGAGAAAAATCTTCAATAAGCCTAAATTGTTCCAGTCAGACTGCTGAGAAAGAATGCAAAGGATTGGAGATGAAAATTATTGGTCAAATCAGCATTATAACATAGCTAAATTCTTTTCTCCACTTCAGATGTTACTGGAACTCACTCTGAAGGGCAACAATGGCACCTGGGAAACCAGCCTTTACATTCAGCTGCAAGTGCTTTGCTTAACACAGTGAATATCCATGAAAAGAGCCTATTCTATAAGATAAAAAAAATTCTCTAATTTACAATTTCAAATATTCTTAATTTTACTTGTAAATAATTATGGGGAGGGGATGCAGGTATAATTAATTCTAACTTGCAGTGGCTCCCAACAGTTTAAGAGTAATTGTTTTCTAAATCACTGTTTTCTCCATGACACATTTAATGATCAATTAAATGCACAACGGAATTCCTAACATAAAGGAACTAACAAAAACCTTGTTAAAATATAAACGACCGATCTTTGAGTGATCTGTTTTAGAAGAACTGAGCTATCAAACTTTCTAAAAATAAAGCCAGAAAAAAAAGGACTCCCATTTCTGCTTTGAGGAGCTACCAGTGAAAGCTAATCGGATCGTCCGAAGGAACACAAACTAACCTGGCGAGAGAGAGCGATGCAGTGGAAGGAACACTGGCCTGGAATCCTCAGGGACCGAATCCTAAGGGCTTATCCAGAAGCCAAGTTTAGATGGTCACCCCAAGGGTGGAAGAGAGGGGCCGAAGCATTTTAATGGAAATATGACCAAGGCGACAGTGTAGGAAATGAGCTACCAGTTTCTGAGATGGATGCAGGAGTAAATGTGTGATTTAGTCGTCCAGGCAAGAAATAATGATGGCCTCGAGGTCAGCTCTGGCTCGGCACTGCCCCTCCGCCACTGGCTCCTGAGGCAAAGGCGAGGTGGGGCCAGAATAAAGTTCTCTCCCAGGAGTGTCTCCTCCAGAAGTGGTACCTTGGAGAGAAAAAACTGTACCGGATGTGCCACCTACAACTGTATGACCTCAGGTAGCTAATTAAGATCTATTTGTGAAGCATTTTACTAAGTACCAGACACCTCTCAGAGATGGATTTAAGTGGATTTTGTAATTTATTTAATCCTTTCACACCTTCAGGTATCCCTCTGTGAAAGAACAGTAATGCCTAATTTACATACAATCTTGAGGCTTACAAAAGAGGTCACATACTTAAAAAGGCTTTGTAAATCTTACACATTTAAAAAGGTTAGCTATCTAATGAATGACTTCCAATGTTTTTTTCTCAATCTAAAAATGCTAAAAGTATTTTCTTTTCAATCCCCATCTAGTGGAGAATCCATGGGTTAATAAAAAACAGTTGTTAATAGTTGATTTTTGTATCACAAGCCATCAAATATGGACACGGTGATGATTCTCTCACCTACTAGAACACTGCAAATAGGAAGCTGAGTGTTTAAATTATAGCTGCTAGAAGGAGACCCACTTATTTGGTTACACTTCTCCATGAGAAGGGTTCCAAGAAGCGAAAGCCAATACCTGCCTTCACAGCTTCAGGATGACGTGTGAGGAAGAACCTCTCCTCCTCCTCATGACTTGTAGCCATTCCATCTGAGTGCTGTGGGCACTAGGCAAACACAGCTTCTGTTGACACTATTAAAATGGTGATGAGGGACTATGTGGGGTAGTGATTCACGGCCACTAAATTTCAGCCAACCCAGATTGGTGCAAAAAGGAAGCGACAAAAAATTAAGGTTTATTTCATGTTCAAAAGAGGTAATTTTATAGCAAATAAAAAAAAAAACCCTGCTCAACATATCAAAGGCATAAAAAAATGGGAGTATAAAAATCAAAGTTAAATTTTAAAAAAATTGACTTTACAGAAAAGAAGACTTAGTCGACAAGTCAAAAAAGACTTAGGATCCATCATGGAATGTCATGCACGGGCCTTGACTGGACTGTCGTTAAAAAGCCAACTATAAAAGCCGTGCCAGGAGAATCGGCATAATTTGAATATGACCTGGGTATTAGATGATAAGTGGAATTATCACCTTTGTTAGGCATAATGACAGTATTATGGTTATGTAAGAAAATCTCCTTAGTTTATAGGGAGGCGCACTGAGCTACGCAGGGAATGCAACGCCAGGAGGCGTGGAGTCTGCTTTTCAACGACACTCCAACAAAGAAAACACCGATGAGACAGATCACAGTGTTAGGAAGTGATGCGAACGTGGCGTAGTATTCTCCCTGCTCATATACATACATTTACACACATATACAGATATGCACATTTATAAGTTGTACATATTTATAATTTTCATGATTGCCTATTTAAGAAAGGAAAGAAAACCTGATAAAATATGCAGCCCATCCACTGAAGTGTGGTAAGGTTGGCTGCCCCTATTAAATAAGTGGGTGGCCCACACCGAGCATGTCAGGAGGTCAGAAACGCACCTCAGAAGGCTTTCGTTCTGTGTTTGTGGGATATATTGCAGAGTGTGGGCAGATGAGGACCTCCCTCAACTTTTAATGGCAAACTATCGAAACTCTCCCAAGGGAGCCGGAGGCAGGGATGGGAGTGGAACCCTGGCGGAGTTTAGAGTTGCATGCAGGCCACTCAAGTCTCAGCCCCCCGTCACCCCGACTCTCTGACCTGGACCAACAGCCACTTTGGGATCCGATGAGCTCGCTGTGAACCATAAAAAAACCAAAGGTGAGTTTTATTATTCCTCATGTCCAAGGGAATTCTTACAGAGTCTCCATTTTGTGGGTTACTCTCAATTGCTATTTTGAACAGCTAAGTACGGCGTGGAAGAAGATACCTCAGTTAATTAAATGTTTATGGAGGTCACTGCCAAAAACCCCTTGCAGAGAAAAAAGTCATAATATGGTCATCATTCCTGGGGGTATGAGCTCAGTGTGCAAGTATTGGATGTGTTGTAAATAAGCATTCCATTTTCTTTTTTAATCCTCACCCAATGGTATGTTTGTAGAGAGAGGAAGAGAGAGACAGACAGACAGAAACATCAATGTGAGAGGAAATCCATCAGCTGCCTCTCATGCGCACCCTGAGTGGGGATCAAACCCGCAACTTGGGTATGTGCCCTGACCGGGGATCAAACCTGCAACCTTTTGGTTCATGGGACAACACTTCAATCAACTGAGCCACCCGGTCAGGACAAAAAGTGGTAAATTTTAAAGGTCACTTAAAAAAGCAAACTGGCCAGTGGTTACTTGGTGGAGATCAGACATTTTCATCCGCAAGAAGTATGAATATAAGTACTAGGAAATAAGTACTAGGAATACATTTTTTTAGAAAGAGTATCACATAAGGATCAAAAGAAAACTTGTATTAAAAATAGCTCAAATGGGCTGAAGAAGATGTACTTTGGGAAACGCATACTAGTGACTGAAAAAGAGGTTCTAAGGATGATCAGCACAGCAATGTCAGAGCTGGATGTGAACGGTTTGAATAAACACTGTTTCATAAAATACCAGAGGCACATTCCTTTTGGAGAGAAGGAGGGAGTTCTTCAAGGTCAGACAATGAAGAGGGTGAGAGATCTGGGGACACCTGGTGTGAAGAAGGTAAAACCTGTGGGGTAAGGAAGGTGCAACAGGAATGTCTCCAAGCATTTGAAGAGCAGTCATGTGGAACACAGAGTTGACTTATCACGTACTTTTGAGAAAGTTAACTCAATGGACGGAAATTATATAGAGAGGCAGGTGCCTGCTCAGTATAAGCAAGGAGTTTATAACAATTAGACCTGTCTGGGATTGAAAAGTCGTGTGTGAGTAAAGGCTTCCTGACCAACTGTAAGGAAGGAAATGGAAGTAAATTACCTTTATGGTCATTTTAGTATTTAGATTGTATTCTTCTATCAAATTATCTCCAAGCTGGTAACAAGTTTAACTTGTTGATAACCAATTTATTTTGCGAAGATGCTCTCCATTTATTATATATTTTTTAAATGGTTGCTCTGTGTGAATCATTACATTAACTTCTGTGGGTGATAAAACATACATAAAAATAGTAACTGTCAGAAGTTTAGGACCAAGGAAGGAGATATACACGTGTGCAACACATGCCACATGTGTACATATGTGAACACATGTAACATACCATTCCTTGGCTGGGGCTTTGTCACAAGGCTAAAGCAGAATGCAATGAGGGCACGATCCTATTAACACGTTCACCTTTTTTTGCTATGGAGTCTCTCCTGGGCCTGTCTCTTGTCCAGGCTACCTGCCCAAGAGCAAACTGCTTCACCCCGAGTGAAAGTCTGAGTCAAATATCTTGGCTTTGTTCTCAAACCTTTCTTGGCTTGCACTCAAGTCACTGGACACTGCCTTCCAATTTCCCAGCTAGTTCTCTCAAATCTTCTCAATAGCTATTATACAAAGAATGAACAATGGGACTTATCCAATAGGCCTTCCAAATGCAATACCCAATGAAGCGACATTGGAGTCACATAAAAGCACTGGTCACTAAATTCCATCCTCGATCCCCGGGAGATTAGGCAACAGTATGAGGTCATCAGTTGGAATGCAACCCAGCAGAGGAAATCAACTCCAGGGTCGTGAGCACTAGTGAGACACAACTTCTGGTATATGAAGCACTATAAACTTACCATGTATAGTGGGGGGAAAACTGAAGACTATTACTGCATTATAATGATACTTCATGATATGACTACAAGGAAAACATTAAAATGAAAATCACATTTGATGAAATCACCCTTGAACAATTTTTTTTGGGAGCTAGGTAAACCATTCAAAATTTTCCTCAAATAGTCTGAACATAAAAGTCTCCTCGGTTCTAATGTGCACAGCTGACCTGAGACTGCTGGAAAAGGGTGCTCTTCTCCGGGTTTATGCCGCAGGCAAGGAGCGCGGCCGTCATGTCCCGGACGCTCTGCCGCAGCACGGCTGGGTCTTGGGGGACCGTGATGGAGTGCAGGTCAACGATGCTGTACAGCACGGAGCCGGGCTCATCCTGTAGGCTCACCCAGCTCTCGATGGCCCCCAGGTAATTGCCGAGGTGAGGGATCCCTGTAGGCTGAATGCCTGAGAACACTCGCCTGACAGCATCTTTCTGGAACAGAGGAGAACAAACACATTTGCTTCTGCGGCAGAGCCCACGAACCCTATGTCCACATCAGCGCAGCCACAACGCTAGTCCGTGTTTTTAAACTGCAATCTGACACTCATCATTCTTAGGCATTTGCTGTCTGTCTACTCTGTGCAAAGCATGGTGTTAAGTGCTATTAGGGACAGAAAATGATATTCAAAATGTGTGGTCTCGTGCACTCAAAAACTTATACATACAAAGACACACCACAAAAGGTCTGCATCCTCAAGGAATGCAATCCAATTGGAGATAGAGGGCGTGTTCTGGAAAAGACGAGTAACAGAACAGCGTGGCGACATGACCTTGATCAGTTTGGAAAGACAAATAGTGGAGTGCTGGCCGGAGTTCCCTGGAGGAAAAGACAACCGTGGGTCTGGGGGTCAGTGCGAAAGACTTCGGACAGAGAATCGCATTTCTCTGGAGATTAAAGGGACCTCAAGGGTTTTCACATGATTTCATTTTTTTTTTTTTGAGTTAAGGCAATGAAGGCCACAGGTTAGAAATAAAGGCTACTGCTTACTTAATGAGTTTTCTTTAAATATAATTGCTGATATAATTATCTGCAATATTATATAATAACCTAAGTGTAGTATAGCTACTTATATAATTAATGTAATTAAGTGCATGGGATCTTGGGCTAGAAATTTAGAAACCTCCACTATATTTCTAATATTACTTCTCGATAAAGTTCCTGAAAATTTTCAAGCTTCAGTTTCCTTTTACTTTTGATAAATCACACTTGGTTTTTTTTATTTCTTCACAAGGAGTTTTGTAAGTTTTTAAACTGGCTTACACTTTCTAATATTGAAGGTAAAATAGTAAATAAAAAGAACAATTATAAAACAGGGTGAAAATATCCAATTTTTCCCCTGAATGATTTTACACTCTACAGTGATAAACCAAAAGTGAATGTTTATCAGTAAATGTGCTGTGACTAAAAGAATGTGAGGAAATAAAATGCACCATCATCCTGGCAGCCATCATTCATGGGACTACCAAGACCTTGCAGGCATTTGTGCTCAGTGCTTTACATAACGTATTTAATCCTTGTAATTCCCAGGATGGTAGGCACTGTATCACCTCCAATTTGCAGATGAGAAAGCTGAGGCTCACAGATATTAACAGGTTGCCCATGGACCACGCAAGTAAGTGCTGGAATGGGGGTTCAGGCTGGTACCACTGGCCTTGGAGCCCCAGAGGAGCCTCCCACTAGCTACCATGTTTTGCACAGGCACCATCTAGTAACACTTTGTTGCATTCACTGCATTAATTTTGCAACTCTTCTGCAGGTTTGAAAATGTGCAAAAAAAAAAAAAGTTACAGGGAAAAACAGACCATTCCAAACGCAGGTATCATTGTGTACCATGTGCCAAGTTTCTCTAGCGTACACACCTACAAGTGGAAGCTCTGGGCCACAAGTGTGCATGTGTACCTTGGACTGTACCACAGTGCGCTACACTATTCCCAGCTGCGGAACACCCTGCAGTCTCTACTGTTAATTCCACATCCTCCACAACGCTTTGCCAGCACTTTTATTTTTAACTAATCTGGGTGGATACGAGGTAGAATCTCATTATGGTTTAATTGCATTTCTTTGATTACTAAAGAGTGAGGACTCTACTGCTATTGGCTACTTTCACTTCCTCCTCTGTGGCCAGCCTTTTCAAGGGATTTTGCCTACTCTTAGACTGGATTGTCTTTTTATTGATTTAAGAACTTTTATATATTCTGGATACTAATATTTTATCAATTACACCTGTTCAGTATACTCTCATTGTGTGCCTGTCTTCTTTATGTTATCTTTTGATGAGGAGGTGTTCTTTCTTTTACCAAATACATAATTCTGACTACAGATTTTTATGGCATAGAAAAAAATCTTTCAGTACCTTGTGGTCATGAAGATACATGTGTGCACACATACAGAGGTGGGCAAACGTAAGTTTACAGTTCTGAGCATGCAAAACACAGTTTATTCTTGAATTATTATTTAATTAACTATTGTATTATTTCCACAAACAACTGTAAACCTATTTCCCCCCCATATATACTTTATATAAAGCACATGTATGTGCATGTAGGTAGGCTTTAACGTTTTATCTTTCACACTTAAACCAGTATCCATTTGGAGTTTTTGGCATATGGTGTGAACTAGGCATCCAATTTCTTTTCTGTTTTTCCTATGTAGATACCTCATTGTTCCAGCACCACTTGGTGCAGTCTCTTTCCCCGCTGCTGTGGAAGGCCACCTCTGTCCTCAGTCAGTGTCTCCGTGTGTTTGGGTCTGCACCTGCTTTTCCCGGCTGGCCCCACCGGTCCACGTGCCTGTCACTGCACCCGAACCACAAGTGTTTCTTAGCGAACCCTGGGGCCTGGTGGGGGAAGCCTGCCCACCCAGCACTGGCCCTTGATGCATCCCAATATGTTTTAGAATCACTTTGTCAAGTTCCAGGAGAAGAAATGTTGATTTTTTTTTTTAAATCAAGATTGAGCCTATAGATTACTTTGAGGAGAACCAAATAACATTGGGTTCTCCAACCCAGGAGATCATATAACATGTGAGTATCTAATATGAAACTCAGTGACTACAGCTGATAACACTGTGTTGTGTGACTGGAATTTGTTTAGAGAAGTTAAATGCCCCCCCACACACACACACCCATAAATATGCGAGATGATGGGTGTGTTAATCAGCTAGACGGGGGAATCTTTTCACAATGTGTATCGAATGACCACAATGCTTACTTTCAATATTTACAGCTCTATTTGTCACTTACGCCTCAATAAAGCTGAAATTAAAAAAAAAACAACATTAAAAAGTCCTTACCTTTATACCTAACACCAACTCCTTAGAGCTAATCTCCTTTAGATACATGAATGCCGAGACTACTTAAATTTTGCCTTTCCCTTCCCTAAGAATTCCTGATCCTATAAGTACAATCTATTTTCCCTGTATCTGCTCATCTTCCTCTCTGGCCCTGAGATGACAGCCCTAAACTGGAATGCTACACCGAAGCCCGTGGCCCAGAACCACACTTGATCTAGGCACTCGGGAGACCCACAAGATGCGTGACTCCGAGGATGTGAAAAATATCTTTGAAGTGACTCAGAACAAATATTATCTTACCACTTACAGCCACACATGTGCATACACAGAAGAGGCCTGTGAATGACTATCTCCCTCATCATACTTTAGAAACATTGTTTTCAAAATAGTTTGTGGTTGAGAACTGAGATTTTGGGGAGAATGAGGAAGGGAGAGAGGGAGGGAGAGGGGTTAGCCTAGAATAAATACGCATCACTGAGGCTTCCTCCAGTACCTTGAGACCTTAACCAGCCCCGGGGTCCTCATCAGGAAATAAGCAAACGGGCTTTCAGTGAGGTAAAAATGATTAATGGGCTTTAGGGATTGATTGATGAAGGGAGAAAGCAAAGCAGAAAAACAAGCTCTGAACTTAATAAATGGAAGGGAAAAAAATACCATCCAGAAATACTTGACCTGGGATGAAGAGGGACTGTTTATGTTAATGTAAATAGTTAGGAAGAGTAGTAATATCAATCCAAAAAAAAAGAATATTCATATTCCCACATAAATTGGTTAAACTGAAGAACTGCTCCCCAGGAGAAATGCAGAAACTAATTCTTGAGAAAACTGGAAGGGAAAAGCACTGGAGGACAGACTCTGGGAAAAAAAGAGCCGTGGCCGGTGGGAATGGACTCAGCATGACCTAATACATCTGTCCGCTCTGCACGTCCTGTGATTCTCCACGTCCACCCAGAGGGGATGATGTTATCGAGAAATAAGAGCAATAAGCAATGTTTTCTTCAGTGTTCAAGGAGCCATTAAAAAAATACAGCCTCTAAATGAGAAGTGAATTCCTGCTCCGAAAAATAGACAGAGAGCATCCTGCTTTTCTGCGGTGAGTTTATGTTCCCGGCAGTTCCCCCTGCGAGAGTCAGCAGGCGGCCTGGCGGCATGGCAGGGGAGACACGCCTGGTACCATGAGATCACGGGGCTGGAATGTGCAGTTCGGGTGGTGGGAGGATGGGGGTCCTGTGTTCAAAAGCGCGAGAGCTGGAAAAAAATGAAAATGAAAAGAGCATGGGCTTCCCAGTGGACGAAAGGCAAACCACAAAGAAAACAGCTTCAAGACTCGCCCACAGGCCTCCACGCAGTCCCGGGAAGCCCGGAGCATCAGCCAACGATCCCATCAGGTGCCGGGAGGATTAAAAAAGGAGCGTTTTTACAAACAGGGCTTCATTTTTATTTCAGGTGTATTTCCTTAACAAATCATGCCGCTTCGAATCAGCACGTTCATTGACTCGTTATGTAACAGGCAGGTGTTCGAGTCATAAGGGAGAACTTATCAATCTGGCAGATGTAGCTGCAACTCTCCCTGTCTTAAGGTACCAAGCATATGCAAAATTCATAATCTTAATTTAACTTATTGCACCCAAAGCAACTAAAAAAACCCCTCAAGCTGCTAATTATGTAGCTTGAGATTTTTGTGAAAAAGATCATTTTTGTGATGCTCTAAATAGGCTTCTGTCTTTAATCCCAAGTGAATAAAATACATTAGAAGGAGGCTGCCTACTCCCTTTAAAACACTCAAGTTTTGCATGGGGGTGGGAACCCAAAACAAGAGGTTTCAAGACTCTTATTGCATCAGGTGCTTGCACCCAGCTGCCAAGTCGATTGTCCACTCGTCACACCTGTTGCAACTCCAATCAGAGGTAAAGTGAAACCTTGGCTGAACAACCACTGCGACTGACTGGTTCCACCAATGGCGTGTTATCAGACTGTGACTTAAGAAAAGCCATCCACAATGCTGTCAACCAACCTGGATGAAAATCTCTTCCTGTGAGTCTATTTAGGCTTCTTACTGTGTGCAAATAAAATACACAGCTTAACATACTCCGTAGCTCGCTGCTGGTGCCTCGCAATGTTATCACCTATGTCACCCAAT